CCGGCGATTCCCGAGGACATAAAAAACGACAAATAGATACAATAACTAACTAAATTTTTATTGTACTTGGAAATATTAACGACTATGTATGGATAAAAAAGTTTTCATAAGTACTCACCCAGAGAAGCGATATGCAGCGAAGTATTGCCTTTTTTTGTTGCCGAATCGACGATAGCACCCCTTTTCAAAAGTTCCCTCACGATTTCGATATGGCCGTCTTTAGATGCCAGATGAAGAGCATTTAGACCGTTCTGAAATTTGTAAAAAATCAAAGTTACTTCTCCGGAAAAAGACATCACTGAACACGGACAGTGTTACGTTTGAAACTGCTACTGTAGAGTTGTTGGGAATATGTATATGCAACTAGTGGCCAATTGATTTGACAAGGGAGATTCGAAAAGTTTACACAGAAAATTTGGAATAATTAACATTTTCCTTTATAACAATATAATTTAATAATATAGTGCCATATACATCAGTTTCTATTGCCAGTTTCCTTGTTTTTTCCGAAATTCACAGTTTGGGTTACGATTATTCAGTTCGAAAATGGTGAAGGCGCGAGAAAATATGCAAAATTTAATTGATTACACTACATAACCTCGAAGACTTCGCCAAAACTTCAATAATATTACAAACACCGACACAACTTGGAATAACCGAAGTTGCCTTTTCGTGAATTTTAATGAAAACCTTCAATAGATGTCCTAACATTCATTTTTCTGATTGATTCGGCCGTTACTCGATGAAGATCCATAGTAATTTCATGAACTACACCTCACGATTTGATCTCCACAAACTTTGTTTTTGAAAAATAAATCACATGATTCGCTAACACAGTTGCGAAACATGTCGTGATATATTTTTTAAAAAGAAAGTTTGTGGGGATCAAATCGTAAGGTGGCTCGTACATGAATAAAGAATGCGATATAGCTTTCAACAATAATGATCTTTGTATTGTTTGTTGACTGTGTATTGTTTCCCATCTTTTGATAACGTTTGGCATTACTTTATTTGAATTGTAGTAAATTCTTGTGCTGCTCGAAGGTATATAAATACTCTATGATTAAACATACAAACATATTTCAAATGACATAAGGATGGTAGGGTTAAAACTCTAGGAGCCTTCAAGTGGTTTCTGAGGGAAATGTCTACGAGAGAGCGTTTGATACGTTTTTGTGCTGTAAATCAGATATCTAATGAACTTGATTGTTACTGAAAATCGATTTCTATGTAAAACAATGTTTCATATTCCATGTAAGAAAATTAACAATGTGAAGGTCAAAAATCTTGATACATATCTTGAACATTTTTCACGTGAATGGCATAAGTACTGGGGTTGGGAAAATTTTGTGTCTATTATGAAAACGCATCGATTTTGTTTATTTTATATTCATATTCAATCGGTAGGTAATGACTCAGTGTGACACATTAGGAAATATATCTTATTTGAAATTATGACATATATCATCTGCATACANTTTTGTAGTTAATTTAATGTTAAATACACAAAATTGTTTTTTTTTCATTAGGTAAACTCTGAATAATTTTCCTTTAGCCAGCCGCCCAGTCGCATATTGATAAAAAAACATAAAATTTCGGTCGTTCTCTAGTACAACTCTACACAAACAGCCTTGTCTGGGAGATCACGTGCACTAGGCATGATAATGTATTGGAGCACTCCGTTGTTTGGATGGACAGAATTTAGACAGTTAATCCTGTTTCATATTTTGCACATTTACTAATACTGTTTGTTGGATTGTTGTTCCACCCTGGATTACCGTCTTTGAATCTCGAAACTGATGAGCGAAAGGTGTTCGGAACAATCAATGCATTCATGAAGTGTTGATCTTGGTGACTTTCGAAAAAGTTGCCCACCAAGATGAGGACATTATTCAAAAAACAATTTCTCAGGCCGACTCTCAGAAAATCTTAGTCAGAACAAAGCCAATAATAAAATAGTGAATTATCATTACCCTTGAGTTGAGCAAAACCGGCATGTACATAAAATGGCCATCGATTGATATAACGAAAATTTTATTTTTTCAGATTTTTTCATATAGATTGTTGACTGATTAGGGAAATTTGACAAGTCTTGACAGACAATGTTAAAAATGTTGAAAGTTGTATAACATCGAAAAACGCCACTAAATCGGAGCCAAAAATGATCAACATCTGTTCACGAAAATGTGTGGATGTTATTCACGGTTTTTCACGTTAATGATTTTGGACAACTCTTGCTCTGACTATATAACTTACCGATTTCCACGACTAGAAATTCAACAGTGTAACAAATTTAAAAAAAGCTGAAAAATATTGCCGAAACCCATTCAGTACCCCTCGTATTTCAATGAAATATAAATTGCAACGTATGACAAATTCTTATCAATTTTTAAACAAGTCTCTGCCACGAATGAGTTTCGACCAGGAGCAGGATTATTTATGTTGTCAGTTCGTAAAAATGCTTATGCGGTACTGATTACTTATTCATGAGCGAATAATTTGTATTATATCACAAAATGCAATGAACCCGTTCGTTTGACGAAGTGAAACCATTTGTTTTCATTTTGATATAAATATAGATAGTATTTTTTAGCGAGAGTATAAAATATCCGCTCTGTATACAGCTACAGTGACAAGAGTCACTGTAGCTGTTTACATGAATAATAGAAGTTGATTTTGGTTATTGTTCATAAATTCTGTATCTTTTCAGTCTGAATAAACTGGAATTGAAAATGTAGATAGGATAATAATATTGTGAACAAAATGATTTACTTCTATCATTAATATGTTGAATTCACTACAATGGTTTTTTGTATCAGAAAAAAAATCTAATGATGATAATATTGTCCCTTTCCATTTTCAAGAATATATTATATTCAAATTTTACTGTATTGTATTGTCTTTATTATCACAAAAAACAATAAATGTTTATGAATAGGGATTAACTGAATTAACTACAGATACGAACTTAACCAAATAATGAAATACTAAACAAGAAAACACAAGTAGTTAATATAAGCAATCAACATTGAGTTTATGAATAAGTACTGAAAAATTATGAAATAGTGAATAAGAAAACAAGTAAAATATTTAATATGAGTGGTAAAATGTGAAATTATCCAGATTTGACATAAAAACATTTATATGATTCTGGATATATAAAAAAGGATATAATCCTATATTTTTCACTTAGTTCATCGAATAATTTTTAAATTGATTTTTGAATTTGAGAGCAGTAGCAGTTTTAGATTATATATCAGTATTTAGCAGTATTATTATCAAATGTTATTATTTTTTTACAGGTTATGGATACAAATGGGAATCTGATTCAGCAAAAAGAAAAAGAAAATTATTTGAATTGAAGGGGTTATATTTTTAGGAGTAGTAGAAAGCCAAAAACTTTCTTTCCCAAAAAAGAAAATGTTTCTTTAATTAGAGTAAAGTGAGTGAATAGCCGCAGTGTCAGTGGCTTTGACTGGGGTTTCAATACGGCGACCTAGACATGATGTTCTTCTAGTTTGACCTATATAAAACATCGGACATGACCCACATGATAATTTATACACTTCCGATTTTTCTGAAACAGAACTTTTATCTTTGTTATTCTTGATGTGTTCACAGATATTTTTCTGATTTATTTGGACGATTTTAAATAGATTTAAAACATTTCAATGAGGAATTGTTTTCAAATTAGAGTGGTTATACATAGTGGTTTCTGAAGTCCGGGTATTTAAATTTAAATTTTTTGCAGCAATGAGAACTGAAAGTGAAGCGATATAATTGAGTATATTGGTATGCTCAGGTAATAAATAAAAAGTTTTCAACACCCTGTTAAAACAAGTTTATTCAACGAACTTCTTTCTTCGTAGGTACAGCTAACTGTAAAAATTTTTCATCGTTATAAGTTTGACGCATTTCATATCGAACAATTAAACCCATTATACAATACTTTTGGAACTTTTTTATCGTCCATACTTCTACAATAAAGACAGATGAATACAAACAACCAAAAATAATTTGCACTTTCACACCGCTAACACAAAAACGTTTGCATTTAATGGCGATTTCTAGGCGGTTCCGCATTTCATATATACGGTGACATCATGCCACGTATCGCTGAATTGCTTCTTTTGAGGTTGGATTTTTTTTGACAATATTCTTCAAATTACGTACCAATTGACTTTTTTTGAATAAAAACAGTGAAAATGAACCTATTCTTTGCTCGCACAAATTTTGAATTTTGTAGTATTCGAATAAATATCTAATTAGCTGTTACATAGACATGCTTGAAATCAACAAAATGAATGATCCAATTGGAGTGAGCTGTGGACACATATAACAAAACAATCGAAATCAACTGCACACACTGGGAGTTAATTCAATTTGAATATTGAAATACCGAACGTGCCTATTGCTTTTTTATGCGCTGAAATTCAATTAGAGTTATTCGATGAAAGATTAACTGGTAGAGTACAGTCATCTCTGAAAGTAACTTGCTAAACCATTTCAGTTCTGAAAATAATTTGTTGCTCATGGCCATGGCAGGTGAATTTATTCCTACAAGTCTTCATATCAATGCTTTATGGAATTTGGTTGAACATTCACGTGCATTTATCTATTTGAACTATACTTATTCCTGAAATTTAACTATTTATATCCATAAGAGTTTATACTTTAACTTTTAGTCTTGAAGTCAACTGCTTGTTTCCGTCATCAAGTATACAAGTGTTAGGCAATCCTAAATACAAGATCATGGAAACTGAGAAGTCAGGGTTTTATTAAATAAGGTGTGGAAATAAGGAGGAAAAGTAGTTGCTTAGTATGCACTTGTCTTAATGGAAATGTCTCAAACGCATTCGATGTTTATTAATTTATGTTACCTATTGTATTTTGCTTAAAGTATTTTATTCGTTTGATATTGTAACAAATTGATGAATTGACTTTCTTAAACAAATTTATTTCCAACAATGTTTCACCAATCACAAACTAATTCATTTGCAACTAATTCATTAGCAACTAACGCTTAATTCATTTCCACTATTTGAATTTCTTGTTTAACCGCTCCATTCACTTTCTGAACTGCCCTCTTGGGTCGGGAAGACGTGCTTATATCGGTAACGGTCCTTTCTAGACATCTGTAGTCGGTTCGGTCCTAGAATTTTACCGGCGATTCCCGACCGCATTCTTTCGCGGTGATGTAATGTGTTTGTTCGATGAGCCGACTGCCGTATCGGTCAGGGGCGGCTTCAAA